ACTGAACACGCACCGTGTCGTCTGTCGTGTACACCTCCTATGTACCCTGTGCGTCGAAAGTGGTCGAAATTAAAGGTCAAGAGCGATCCCCCGGGATAATGTAAAGAGGGAGGAGAGAGATTGGATTTATAGAAAGTATACGAATAAAATTCTTTCCCCCTCGTCCAATTTTCCGCCTTTACTTTGGAGCAGCTTGTTTAAACGTTCGAGATATTTCGCTACAACTAGACAGAGGAATGACCTTGCCCGCTTATTGCTTGTCATTGTGGCGAATAGATTACTCAGCTCGCGAGCATGCCTGAAAGATATGGTCATGCTTTTTGATGAGAAATATGACGAAGATATGTTGCGCGGAGAAGACAACAATCGTAAACATCGGCAAGAAGTCTTCTCTTCGAACCGCAGAGATCTAATATATATATCTGTTTTATGTCTGTTGACGAGTCCAATAAACATGCGCGCGCGATTACACGAGGCAACGTGTACCCTGTGTATTGGTTCTTTAGTTATGATTCCAACCGGTTTTCCAACGGATTTCAACGAGATGAAAATTCTAGAAAAAAAGAATACGCATTATGAAACACGGTTAGAAATTGTTTCCGATCAAAATTATCAAAATTATTTCGTAAAAAACATAATAAAAATTTAGGGAATGATTGAATCAGAATTCTGATGAAATCTATTCCGTTATATTATCAAGGAACGTTTAGCATTTTCCTCGTATTGAGATATTATAGATGATATAGTATCTCGCAGGTAGCTCAGTTACGAGATAATGACGCACTTTAAGCCTTCTCGATAAATCTATAGTATGATGTAACGAAACACGGTGAATATTCATCACAGAAATTGATCTGTCATTCGAAATTGGTATATTTATAATTATATAATAACCATCGTATACGTAACATTACCACGATCGAAAACGAATTAAGTGTACATAATCATACAAAACTATAAGAGATTTTGATCATCCATAATCTATATGTATTATTTATAATCCGATAACTCTCTCCATCGGCAATATAAAATTTTTACCCTTCGTCTACAACCTATAGAACTTCAATGCAGAATTTTTTATAGTTCCAGACTGTGTAGAATGCTGAAAAAATTCGTACATATTCATAAAAGACTTAATGAGTTTTTACTATCATAGAAACTAGATTGCATATTACTTTAAATTTTTTATAATGTTTTAAAGATGCAGATTTGTATTAGTAATATTAAATTGTTTATCAATATTTAACTTGCAAAATTACAATACATATTTCAGCCTCAGTCTAGATTGAATTGTGAATTTCAATATATAAATAATCGGCAGTTGCTTGAACTGGAAATTAAAAAAATTTATTAGTCATCAAGATCCGAATATACTCTTTTTACTCATTTGTGTTGTATTTTATTTATTTTTTTACAGATAAAAAGTTATCTAAAAAAATTTATAATATAAAAAAATTGCCGGTGAGAAGGATGAATATAAAATTTAAGAATATAAAATGAATGATAAAATCAAACGGTAAAAGTAGAATAATTTCATAAAATATACATAATGTAATTTTTTTTAATCTTCGAGCACAATACAAGTCCCACTATATATGAAAAAAAAACTACAAAAGCTAGATAGTTAATAAACAAACAATTTATCGAAGCTACTCGCGTCCACGTTCACGTCGATCGTTCCCTTCATTATCGCAAAATGGGATTGGAAAAGTAAAGGGGAATAAATCAACAAATACAAGAGCCGACCGCATCCAGAGCTCGTCGCAACCATGCCGATCACGGCAAGACGCAGCAGACTCCAACAATTGTGCGCGTGCCGCAACAAAATATACGCGCATCAGAAGAAAAAACCGAGAGATCATTGCAAGAGGAAGAGACAGGCCTTCGTATACAATCCGGAAGAAGAGATTTGGCACGAGCCCTACATGCAATCGCTCCGCCGTGAGTTCTCGGACGAGTCTGTACTGTGCGACTCCAAGATCGAGCTACCCTGGAGGGACATCGCCCTGCGGTCGGCGATGAGGATTCGTCCCGACGCGACGGCTGTCGAGGTCGATCAGGAGATGGACGAGACTGAGACGAGAACCGTCGACAACGAGAAGCGAGAGTCCACTGGTGCCATAACGTTGCCGTGGCAGGATCTGCTCATCACGGAAATCCTACGAAGCACGTTGGATGAGCCGGAGCTCTGCGACTCCTCGGTGGAGATACCCTGGGCCGACCTGGCGCTGGAGAAGCCAGTGGAGATACGACCGTCGCGGGAGGAGCGGACCTGCGTGACCGACGATGTCGAGATTCCCTGGAACGAGATCCTGATGCCGCGTAATATCGTCATCAGATCCGAAAGGAAGAGAAGGCATCCCTCGTCCAAACGACCACCGCGACCGCGCGTTGACACGACGTGCATCCCCTGTGGCAAGCCTACCTGCTGTGCGAGAATCCACGTGAAAAATCGCTTAAATCCTTACGAGAACGTTGCGGGTTCCAATTGGATTGCCGCCTGCATGTAGAGCTATGTGTAAACAATTATTTGCTGATTTGATTAAATTTTAATGTCAACTAAAAAAAATTATGTATCACTTTAATATTAATACGTGGGTGGTTCAAGTCAAACCTGGACTTTTATTCTTATGTTCATGAGAATAAAAGTCCCGGTTTGACTTGAACCACCCACGTATTAGCTATGTTTAGCAAAGTGAGCATTCAGTGATTCTGTATTACAAGTAAATTCTACACTTCCCTTACAGAAATGTAATAATCAATTTATTACTTAAAAAACATAATTAATTACTTATTTGGAGTATCAAAAGTACTGAGCAACATGCAGTACCTTTAAATACTTAAAATAAGTAATTAATTACTACAACAAAATAATCTACTACATAAAACTTTTAGTAGAAAATTTTTTAAATCAGACTCCTTTTATTAAAATAAATCTTCTAGGTTAAAATTGTCTGTGAATAATTCTTTACTAATAACTTGCGTGTTGATTCTTATGGCCTGATTTTTTCGTATTTATTTATATTAATTAATTACTGTCTTTTAATATTGTCAATATTAAGTTTTGTAAGAGTTAGATCTAACGAAGAATTAAAAGCAAAAACAAATTATGTCAAGGAATCACTGAGCGTTCACTGAGCTGCTTTGTTTACTGAACATAACCATTGGCTGCGTTCAACGGAAAAAGTAACGTTGTAAGATTATTTAATATCATTAGTTTATATATAGGATGTCCTATGGGAATGTGTTGAAACTAAGCTGTCATTTTCGAAGGTATTCAGTTATTGAAAAAACAAAAATTGCGCTGAAAAGAGGAAAGTCTACAATTTTTAATGAGTATAAATAAAGTTTAACAAAATGTTTGTGTATCAATTAATTTTATTGATGAAAAATTATGCCAAAATCAAGTACGCACTAAAATTATATGTAAAATCGCAGATAAGATCGAAAAACAGCTTCAGATTTAGTAGCAGCTATTTAAAAAATTATTAGCAATATTAAAAACGATACGTTAGAAAAAGTTTTTACGAGCTTTCGTTAAAAAATTGTGTTTTGTACAAATTCAGATGGTACATCCTCCGAAAAAAAATCACTCCTTGAGACTATGAGCATATTTTTCATCAATAAAATTAATTGATATGCAAACATTTTGTTAAATTTTATTTATACTCATTAAAAATTGTAAACTTTCCTCTTTTCAGCGCAATTTTTGTTTTTTCAATAACTGAATATCTTCGAAAATGATAGCTGATTAGTTTCAACACTGCATTCCCATAGGACACCCTGTATTTAGACCAGTGAGCAACTAAGGACAAGTAAAGAAATTTATAATAGTTGCTATTTTATTTTATTTAGTTATCATTACAGCTACTTTGTCTGCTAAAACATAGCCATTGCTTCTCTCACAAACAATTTCACTCGTTCCAGTAATCTAAATGGTAATATTTTATCGAACATTTGTAAAAGAGAAGCGATATTACTAGTTCGAACTAAAATAATAATAACGATACAAAACAATATAAGATTACACGTTGTAAAAATTGCCGAGAAAAATTTCGATTTGCATTTTAAAACCTTGGTACGTTCATTTTACTTGCCGGATCTTGCGTTACCAGATTATTATCTTTTTCAAGATCCTTATGGCATTAACGTAACAGAGAAAAGTAAAGACCTTGAGACGGTTCGAAATTGTCTTTTGAATCAAAACGAATTTATTTAATTTATCACGTATTACGAAGCGAAACAATTTTCTTTGAAAATTTATTTATGAAACGACAGTGTGACTGTCATTATTGATTAAACGGCAGTATATAACTGACAGTATCGATTAAACGAAAAGTATGTTATTTTTTGGTCATTACTAGTAGATTACTAGTAGATTATTATCATTTTCAAGATCTTTACGCCATTAACGTAATAGAGAAAAATAAAGACCTTCAGGTGACCAAAAATGCCTTTTGAATCAAAATGAATTTAATTTATTATGTACGAAATGAAATAATTTTCTTCGAAAATTTATTTACGAAACGACAGTGAAACTGACAACAGTATCGATTAAACGAAGGTATATTATTTGTTTATCGTTTTGTGAAATCGATAGAAAAACACATTGAATGCTTTCCATTTGATAACATGACACAAGTCGACATGAGTGTCTTCGTTCTGTCTTCGTTATTTCTGGAATGCCAAGAAAGATAAAAAGACATTTGTGTTGACTTTTGTATCATCAAATAGAAAGCTATCTATTGTTTTCCTTTCTTGTTTACACGCGGAGCGTTTGACTTATCAACGGAGTGAAAACCGGAGCCATAAGCCGTAACCGACGTGAAGTTGGTGGCGCCACCGCGGTATCTC